ATTAAGTCATATATAGTTTTGGTTTTATTACGAACAAATTTCGTGAAAAATAATGTTTTTCCGAGATATGACCTACAATAAAGCAAAAAAAAAAAAAATGTCAAATTTCCACATTTTTCGTAATTTTTATTTCCACACCATTGTATATATATGAAGTTTCTTCCTTGTAAGTCTTTAATTATTGGTGTAGCATTGCAAGGGGGAATTTTATTGTTGTTTAGCCTTGTATGCCTGGAAACACAATGTTTAAAATGTTGAATTACAATGAATAAAATGCTTAAAGTGCATGAGAAACGAACACTGTAACAACAAAATATTAATTTTCTTTACTAGAAATAAAACAACACGTTGCAAATTAGGGAAAAGATTCTTGAAACATACTGTAGGAACACTTTATCCTCTCTGCAATGCCGCCATTATCGAGTATAACCTCATAGGCTTGGCTCTGTTATGATGCTGTTAAATTATTATGTATACAACACGGAAAGTTTTAAACGCATTTTACTGGCGAATATTTGAGAGTTACATGGAATGACTCTACTGTGAATTACTGGAAAGGCCTAATCGGAGGGGACCATCTCTGTTGGTCTTTTTTATAGTTTATCTACGAAATTTAATATAATGTATGGAGTGTTAATACGAATTTAAAACGTGACGTTATTTTGTTTCAGGTCTTTCTCTTAGATTGTCAAAGAGTAGAAAATTGTGAAGAGAAGAAAGAAGAAGAAAGATCTTATATATTTTTGTTGCTTCCTCCTAATGTTAATTCAACGTTAAATGAAGAAATGAATATCATAAGGTAAAATAATTTCTCAGCTTTATTAAAATTTCGAAATTTACAAACGATTTTATAACTTTTCTTTGTATAAGAAGTTTTAGACTTGCTGTACAATTGTTATAGCGTTTAGAAAACACGAATTAAACAATTAGGACGATAGTCGACACTTAAACAGATAAAATCAATATTAATTTAGCATTAAAACAAACAATTATATCAAAAGGATCATTATTACTTTCAGAATTTCTTAAAAGTTTTACTAATCAAATAATTTAATCAGAAAAATTCTCTAAAACTTACAGAATCGATAAGTAATTTAAATGATAAAATAATAATTTATTTGTCAATTAAATTAGTTATTGATTTCTGTAATCTATGAGATTTTTCTGATTAAACTGCTAATAAAACGTAAACTTTTTGCTGAATGATTGAGCGATTAGAGATGCTACTTCTGTGCATCAAAATCTCATTAAAATATTCGTTGAATATTAGAAAATTTTCTCGGGTGTTTTTCGTTTGATTAACTATTAGAATAGTTATAATTTCGGGGTAAATTAGACTCTGATTTCCTGTACTAATTTGGCATTTATTTTAATGATCAGCCGAGCAGGAACGTGGGTAATGTAACCGAAAAAACGATTTTATTTCTAAAATATTTGCACACTTTATGGTCATTTAATTAAAGAAGAAGAGTTTGAAGTAAAATGAAGAGTTTACAATGAGTCTAATGAGCTCTCTTCTTTAATTATTAATCCACTAGAAAATTAGGCATAAAAATATATATGTATGCAGGGGCTAGCAGAGCCATTTGATCCGCGCACAGAGGGACCCCAGAATTAAGTTTATCTTTACACATTTTTACTTTGCCGACTCTGTTATTTACATAACAGAGGGAAAGTATGACGATCGGTTAAAAAAATAACCTCGGGAGTCCTTGAAACGTCAAGAAATGCAAAAAAATTTCGGAGCTTTTTCTGTATGTATGAATGTTTGTGGGGGGGGGAGATTTTGTTCACCCTCTTTAAAGCTTAATAACTCCCATGCTTTTTGTCGAACATTTCTGAAGTTTTGCGTGGAGGTTGGCGTGTTAGGAGGATTAATGCTATTAAATTTTGGTGGTTAAAGGTCGAGGTTGGGGAGATAAAGGGGGAGCGTGTCGTATCTCCAGTAGGGTCGGACTTAATGGCGATTTTACTCGTTATTAACATTTACAATTTTTTTTTTTATAAAACTTGTCCCTACTCTGAAAATTAAGCTTTTTGCCATTTTATAATATAGTAGCCCTCATTATATCGCGCTTGTCGGGAGATAAAGAAAAAATGCGATATATCCGAGTATTAAAAATTCTGGGTTTTTACTGAACAGATTATACATACTATGGAAACTCAATCCTCTATTCTTTCATCAGCAAGTGTTTCCGATATAAAATAAGCTTAGTTTTTAATACTTAATTTTATTCGTGATTATATCGTATTAATTAACGTTTACGTAAACATCGATACCACCAACGCCCATTCAGCATTATTGTTTCTTTAACAATGACATTTAAAGACAAATACTGTCCATATAAAAACAAAATATCGGTTGCGATTTTATTATACAATACTATATTTCATAATAAATCGCTTATTAAAAATTCGTGTAATTCATATTTTTCAATAAAATTATAAATACAATAACTGAAAATTTTAAAAATAAATGTTGAACATATAATAGAACATCAAAACTTATAAAATTACAGAGTAAAAATTGTCCAAAAAGCAAAATAAAGTTACTACTGTAAAAAAATTGTAGAACTTTCCTTTCAAAAATAAAGAAATCTTTTCCTTACACATTATGCCTTTTTCTATATAAAGTCACACATTACGTCAATCCACATAAAGGTGCGAAATTTCTTATCTTTATGTGGCTCGACGCAATACCGTCAATTCACATACGGTTGTGAAATTTCGAACTCACAGAAACTTGTAAACGAGGAGACAATACTTAAAATACCAATAAACAAACAACTTTTAATATCAAAAGGAGACACGAATGATAATTGATCTGTCTACCTGTTTTGCTTATTTAGATCTTGACGAATTTATTGTTACGCCTGCAGTGATAGTTTCGAGGACAATGGTAGGAATAAAATGCCGTATTTCATTGCAAAAAGAAATTCAATGGCAATTGGTATTTTAAAATATATTGACTCGAGTGCTTTTAAAATTTGGGAACCAAAAAAACAAAACAAAAAAAATCTTGATATAACGACGGACTACTGTAATTAAAAATATAAAAAGTTTTTAATAATAAAATATCATAAGAAATGGCGCTACCAAAATAGTAAATGTTGCCCGGAAAGTTAAGCAACTCATCGTTGGATTTTTATAGCTTAGGAATATGGATAGAGCCCCCATATCTTCTCTCTAAGCGGTCATTAGGATTTTATTTCATTTTAATTTTGAAAAAGTGAATTCGAACATTTAAATAATTGCGATTTTATTTCAATTACATTACAATGAAATAATTTACCATAGAATGACAATGTATAAATCATATCTTAAATTTTGTTATATTAAAATAAATTAACGAAGAGAAAATACTGACAATTTGCTCTCTCTAATTAGTCTTTAAAAACATTAATTATTTTTTCACTTATAGCTTCGGTAATTGTCTGTTTAAATGACATAAAGAAATAATAATTTTTTTTAATTAGAGCTTTATATAATTTTTTAATAAATAATTTAATGTTAATTATATTTTAATTATTCACTAATTAAATGCAAGATGATGAATTTATTAATGAATATTTATTTACTTAAGAATATTTCTTACTAATTACTTTATAATTTTTTTTTCTGTTGTTATAATTTAATTCTTTTTTCTCATGAGTAAATTCATACGTTACATTAATTACACCGTAACATTCATTGCCAGGCAGTTAAATGAATATTTACTATGTTATCTAAGACCCTATACGTTTAAATAACGAAAATATTTTAGGAAATCATCCAGTATCTATCGGATAATTACTGAATGTATAATTCTTGTCAAGCATAAGAAGTAAATAAGCTTGATGATGAAAGAATTTAAGCTGGTTAATCAAAGCATAAGATTTTAATGACAAAAACAATTTCTTTTTTTAATTCGGAGTCACTATAAATTGTTTACTTCTGAATATTTCTAATTTAAAATTTTATTTTCAAATTTATCGTTAGACATTTTTCAGATTGTCCCTCTGCCAACTCTTAATGAATGTTATCATTTAAGTGGTGGGGATGATTCAAACTGGGCATATATTAATTAAGTGAGGTTGCATGATTCACGTGTCATGCGTTAATGACACGAAACACAACAAGATAAATGTCACAATTATTATTCGACACCAGAAAAAAAAATGTCTGTATATGCCATGCATAGATATAATAATGGTAAAATTGTAAATGGTAGGCTGAGAATTTGAAGTTGCTGCGTTATTGTGTTTTATTTTTAATTTTTTTCGAGGAAATTGTTATAATTCGCGTTACGAATATAAAAATTTAACAAGTAATTCAAATTATTTTACTGTTATCTAATTAGTATGCAGCCAAAGTGAAGTCAAGTTGTTAAATTATTAGTTTAGAGAAAATTTGGTCGCGTACAAAATACTTAATTGGTTAAAATTGCAATTAGAATCTTATGCTATTGAAGTTTCCATGGGATAATTGTGTTTTATTTCGAAGTTTTTAGAACGAAAAAATTTCCCATCGATTAGAGTTTGTTTTTGTATTAATAAAATAGCTTCGATTTTAAATGAAAGTTAATGATAAAATTAATCTTTTAAAAAATACTGTAGAATGTACAAGCAACGTTCCTTAATTTATAAGATTTCTTAATAATTGAATTAGTTAAAAAATACTTATTAAATGTATAAAAATTATGAAACATTGTAAGCAATAATTCATCATTTTGTTTTAACACTGTTGGACCCAACAGTGTTAAAGTTTAGTGGCGGATCTACGTAAGGGCTAATAGGGCTTGAGCCCAGGACCCCACCTTTTAGAGGAACCCGAGGCACAACGCAAAGTGTGTAATTATTAACTAAGCGATAGAACATATGAGTATAAAACAATATTAATTTAAAAATTTCTTGTAGCTCTCTTAGTGCTCACAGGACAGAAAGAATCGGTGAAAATTTTTATTGTTAAAGTTAAAATGTATTTTAGAAAATTCTCTTATTGGTCATGTTTTTCGAGATTGAGTGAGAGGAATGGTAGGGTGACCTCACCCATACTATGTACCTGTACAGTATATCATTACATTTAAACACACACACACACGACACATTGGTTAAATTCTACATTTGTGTTATGTTTGTAGAATTTCGGAGTGGAACCACTCCCTAAAACGTCATTAAAATGCATTGTCCTCAAAGTTTCAGCCTTCTATTTTAATTAGAAGTGGATGATATTTGAGGACGATGCAAAGCAAGTTAAATAAAAGCGTTTAAAAATAATTGTAATGAGGCCACTGGCTATTAAATAACTTTTCTATATTTTCGATAGATTTATATACAGATATGTACGGCCTAAAATGTGCAAATCATAGAACACTTCTTGTTGAAATCTATTTTATGATGGACTATGGGGAATTTTTTAAAGAAGTTAGTATGATCTCGTTTGGCTAAACTACTTATAGTGCTTGGAAATAAACTACAAAGACATAAAAATATTTTTTTATTAATTAAATATTTAAAAATATTTTTTTTATTTTAAAAAGTTAGTCCACCCTGACTAAGGTTAATTAAAGCCCTCCATCCTTTCTAGTCATCCTACAATCTCACGAATCATCTTTCAGATTTTATTTAACAAACACAAAATAAGGATTATTCTTATTAAATGAAGTTTTATATCTAATTATTTATACTAATAATTAAACTTTAAAAATGAGAAAAATTATATATATTATTTTTATTTTAGAGTTCCTTTCCGAAATTTGGTAGTGGGATTGTTATCTCATCAAATATTATTACAGACCATTAGCACGTTATTGCTTCAAGGTACGCGTCACATACTTCCTAGTTTAGCCACTTTACTATCTTCATCGTCTCCGTTTAATCATACGAATCAAAAATCTACGAACATCTCTAAATTACCAGGTAGGATATATTCTACGGGCATTTATATATAGCCCATAGCTTTATTATAAAGAATAATTATTAATTTTTCAGGTCTGTTATCGTCCATCCCATACAACGACTTGGATATTTTGCTACAGTGTTTACAAAAGTCATTCGCGACGGCTTGCAATTTTGACGTTAGACCCGGCTTGAAATTTCTCATACAGAAAGTCGCACAGATCGATGTCGCCGCTAATTTATACAAGCAGACCGGAATCAGTTGGACCATCCGCGCTCTAGTGCTGTTCGAACTGTGTTTAAACATCCCGGATCTCACCATGGAAATGTCAAATAATTTAGTCCACGTCGAGGACGATGATGAAAGGAGAGAGAACGGAGATGACGTTTGCAAGAGAGAATTTTTATACGATAATCCGTGTAGGAGACTTAAAGATTTCTTCCAAGATTTGTGCCATATTTATACTTCGTTATCATCCGACAAAGACGGGCAGATAGCTGCCGTGGACAAAATTGCGGATCAGCCCATATTCTTCCTCACGGTGCAACCCGACGAGTTTCAAGATTTATGGCAGAATCAGAGAAAGTCGGGCGAATTTTCGACAGATAACGCCACTGCAGACAACTGTAGCAGATCGAAAATTAAAAAACAGGATAGCGTGGACAGCACAGACTCGGAAGACTTCAATTACGAGAAAAAAGATAAGGTGTATACGGTAGCCACCGAGAAAACTATACATTCCTTGGTCAACGAATACAAAAAACGCAAGACGCAACACACCATGCCATCGGCAGCCAGAGAGAAACCAAAGAAGAAGATAGAAGAGAAGGACAAAATTACAAACTCAAATTCAGTATCTAAAGAAATCGATCTTCAACGAAAAACATCTATTATGAAGGCAAGTGTTTCTCTTATTTTTATTCATTTAATACATATATATATATATTTCTAAACAATTTTGACACCTTAATATCGAAATTAGAGCATTTTAATGGAATCTTAACAGGATAGCGAAGCTCGTTTACAAGTATGGAGCCAGCTTATTCGTTCGGTGTTAGATCTCCATCTATCGCTGGAGGATAACCAATTTAAATCCCTCTTACCTATCGTGTTCCCCGGGATATGTTCTTTAGTCGTTTCCAGCGTGGACACGGAATTAAAATCGACATTGAACGGCTGGATGCGGAGAATGGCCGGTTGTTGTGGATTCTACAAACCCCAACAGAACCGTGATATATCCTTATAAACATTTATAAAAATAAAATAAAATGCTAGTCGATGTTGTACAGATTATTATACACTCGGTTATCTGGTCGTTTAACAAAAACGAAAACGGTATGATACTGATGTTCTAGTCACCAGAAACTGTAATATTTTCTTTCTCTGTGGTGAATAATTTATTCTCTATTGGAATATATACAATTGAGATATTAAAAGGGTTTATGTTAAATTATTAAATTGATTCTTCTGTCGTATTTTTAAGCAAATTAACACTTTAAAATGGCTTTAATTCCAATCGTGGAATTAATTTACATTCGTTACCTTTCTAATTAAATATTTCCACTTAAGAAAACATTATTTAGTTATTTACTAGCCAAAAGAAATGCATAAAAACTTATTTTGGCTATTATTTATAATAGAAAATTATCATTTTAACTGGCTAAACAAAATCAAATTTACATTATACATGATTAAATCTTACGCTTATTCTTAAAACAATATCTTAGGAACCTCACTGATTTAACAAAATGTTTTTTTTTCCTCATCTTCTCCCCCCTTCTTCTCTGTCTTCTCTCTCCCTCTTTCTCTATCTTTCTGATTTATTCATCTCTTCAAAATATTTCTTTTGAAATACTTTTCCTGTTCTTTAGAAGTAAAAATTTCTGGCAAGAGGGTAAAAATAAAATAAAAAAAATTGCATTTAATTTCAGACGTTTTCTACATTTAGAAAAAGAGCTGTTGTCTATTGAAATAGTAGAACAAACAAGTCGTCTTTCTGCAATTAGCATTTGCAAATGTTTCCCTAATTTTATTTCTGAAAACAAAGAAGCAAAGGATTTTAACATAAAAGAAGCAAAATGTTCGGTTAGTCAAAGGTTTCTTTTTGGATAAAAGTAAAATTTAATTAAGTATTGTTTGTTTTTTTTCTTCTTCTTCTCTTCTTATTCTTTTTCTTCTCTCTGAAAGTTTTTCGGGATAAAAAAAAAAGAGTTCGGCGGATGATAAAAATTGATGAAAATGCAACTGTTTTCAGTTGCGAGTCATAGAAACGAAGCAGTATGGAGGACGGAGCAGTTCTTTCAGTAAATAACACGAGATGGCGACACTATAGGTACACCCAGCACCTAACGAAAATTCGAGTCGAATTGGACCCTTCTGCTTCCATTTTTATCTCTCGATAAGTCCTTTCTTCCCCTTAGTTTTCATTCTTTTTCTCCTTCTTATTAGGTAGGCGATAAAAACAAGATGTTTAGAGAACGTTAAGTGTCTTTTTCAACACCCAGATGGCGCCACCAGTGCGCGACCACCCCCTCCGACTGTCGGAGAACGTTTCAATGATAAAATAAAATTGGATGTTAAACATAGTTAAAAACAGATTAACTCGCGATATAAACATTTTAAAACAAGATTTACTCGAAAAAATGGGTGAAGTATCCTCAGGGATGCGCCGATTTCAGATACATTCGCCGTCCCTCTAGCATCCGTGTGGTTAGCAGATAAGGACAGGTCCATAAATTTCTACAGTTAAAAAAAAAATAATATAATAATAAAAAAAAGGAGCAAGAGTCAAGTAGAGAGAGAGGAGAAGGGCAGATTTTTATTGCAAGTAGTAAAGACACAAGTAAAATTCTGCGAAACTTCCATAAAATCAAATCAAGTTAAAAGAGAGGAGGAAGCACAGTTTTTCATCATTCGAAACAGAAATAATTTAAAAAATATATTTATATATATATATATAAAGTTCAGTAAGGTCTCCACACTGTCGATTCCTGTTGTCTGACCGTGTTGAGTTTCAGTAGATCTACTCCCGGCAACCAGGAAGAATAAGAATCCGATTTTCCTCTGCTCTGATGGGACACCAGGCTGTTCAATAATTGAATGGGGCTGGGTTGGGTTAGACTAGAATATAAGTGAGAATATAGAAAGCTTGGTGATACCAACAACGTTTGTTGACAGGATTCTTCGCTAGAACGTCTATCCTCTACTTTCTCACCGTGGGAAGCCGATACCACTCCGCACATCTCTGAATAATCTCCATGAGTAGAGGTAGTGGGGTCGTCTGAAAAGAATCAAGGGGGGAAGAAAGAAATCTGTACAAAGCGAATTCTGTTAGGCCCAAGTTAGAGAAAAACAAGTTTACCTGTAGAGGAATCGAGTCTGGTGGAGGGTAGAAGGTGATCCAAGTGGTAGGCCAAGGAGGGCAAATATCCTCCCCCTCGTATATAGTTGGCGGTCTGATAGAACGAGTAGGGCGTGACATAAGGGCTCCAGAACAGTTCGGGTAAAGGTAGACCCAGCACTTGGTTGGCATCTGTAAGAGATCGGTACTAATGACTCAGCAATGCGGTCTGGCACCGATTGGGTGTAGTGGAAACTTCCTATAATGGATGCTACTCATGCAATAATCACATTTAGAGGTAGTGACAATCTTAATTTCTATGCGTATAGAAATTATTAGGGTTCAGAATATCCGTAAAAACTGCGAGAAATTAATTTACATTAGCGACAATTAACGTATACGTAACAGTAGAAGGGTTGTGTTTAATAATTAGCGTAACACGAGTTTTTTTAATACTAATAATCTATTGTCCGAACTTTACGGCTATCGTTTCTCTTTGGAAATTCGTGATATGTGGACATTAGCTAGACGACTCCCGGTTAAGTGATGTGTTGCATGCAATGCAATCATCAGGGATCATCAATAAGGTTGAAAAAATAGTAGAGTAAACACGGCTTTCTGCTTAATGCACACACATAACATACCCCGAGCGACGTACTCCAAAATCTTATACGTGGCCACTAAAAGGATGCTGCAAGATAAGGCGTTACGGAAGAGGTACTTATGAGTAAATGCCCTTTTGCACATAGAGACGATGATCACTCTCAGTAGTTTACCTAAGTCTATAGAAGTTTAGGGGTGGTTCGCACGCTGAAAGTAACGAATTTAAGCTCTGACACTGCTTTAAAAAGTTATTTATAGATTATCAATTTAGGCCTGGAAATAATCGAGTGGAGAGGTAGGAAATTTATTAAGTGTAGCGCCAACCGAAACCGTGCACGACTGTATAATTTGCTTTTCTGATGCAAACAAACGTCAGACGGGAGTAACGAGCAAAAGTTACGACCGCATAACCCATCAGTAGAGGCCAAGTTGCAGATGTAATTCCCATTGTTAGTCGGATGGTTTTGGAACGATTCAAGTTTGCAAACTATCACTCATTAAGAGGAGAACCTGTGGGAATGATGGCTCCTTCCCCCGAGATGCGACCAAAGCTCACCCCCTGTCTAATTCATCACCCAGCTTTAATTACCATCCAAATGAGATTTAGACAGACTAGTTTTCCAGTTGGAGTAGTAATGGTGCGCGCTGCAGACTGGATATGATTACACCCAATGCTGGTTCCTAAAGACGTTTCATTTCCTCCCTCCGCTTCTAGGGGGTTCCTTTTGTCAACTTTTTCCTCCCCTCTTTTCTTCTCCTTTCCTGTAATAAGTGACACCTATAAAAAGGCGCTTACTCGATATTGGTAGGGGCGGAGGCCTTGCTACTTTTTGCAGATTTTAATGAAAATTTGTTCTTCAGCCCGTTCGATCCGCATGACACACGCACACACATACACACACACTCTCTCTCCCTTTAGGGATATCTTACAAAGTTTTTAACTGGAAGCTGGACGGAGTCTCCAAACTTCTTCCAAGATCCGGTTGTTTTGTGCTGAAGTCTCTCCGGTTTATGGTTGCATCCCCGGCACAAACTTTGACACCAACATCGTAAATCTGGTCTGGTTTAATATGTCGTCCCGGAAAACTGCCGCGTGATCGATAATTTTTATTGTTACAACACGTGCTGCACCGACGAACTCTTCCTCACCGCAATTTCGTCAGGAACCGGCAACGGATTTTACTTCTTTACGCTCGTAACCGCCGGAATGGCTCCACTTTGATTAAATAAAAGTGTAATTGGCCCACTTACATCCGCAGCTAACTTTCTTCACACTCGCTTCCACTCTGTCGATCGTCTCGGTCGAGGTCCCATTTTCACCTCACCCACAATATCCTCTTCTCTAGCTCTAAATTAATTAGCATCCTTCCAACTTCTCCACTTTAAAACTCGACCTTTTCTAACTATCGGCAAACTCCACAAGTCGATGAGCTTACCGTTTACCCAAATTAACTCTTTAATTAAAAAGTATACGAGCATAGGAACATTAAAATATACATTGCAGGGGTGGAACTTAATGTATTTTTCGTTAGAGGGGGCATCGCTTTTCGTATCAGTGATTGTTGATGAGAAAACTATGGTTGCTTAACAGATATTAAATTTAGATTATGCAGGTTTTCACGTTAAAACCCGTTTTGGATGATGATGAGCTTTAATTAAGACACAAGTCGAATTTCGTCCCCGTGCGATACTTCATTTGTGTGAGGTCCGAGATAAATTTTAACAATTGAAATCTACAAAAGTATAACGTTAGCGTTAACGATCCTTGCATCGATTAATATGAAACTTTCCAAAGGACTGATTATATAATAAATTCCTTGAGTTTCTCTATGAGAAATTCGCTTCTTAAGACGTTTTTCCTGCTTCTTATATTCATTTATTTACAGTTTATAAGAGACATTTTACGCTAAACTACTCAAATTCCTAGTGATGCTATGGAATAGTATATAGGAGATAACCATTTTCATGCTTCATAACAATTTATTTGGGGTTTGTAAAGCATTTTTAAAGTTACTCTTCTCAAATTTCTAGTAATGCCGTGAGATATATCAACTTCTTAAGATCTTTCCAATGCTTCTTATATTAAACTTAGACCCTTATTTCCCTAAATAGGGTAGCTGTATTCTTATTAGCTTAACTCTATAATCTTTTATATCATGTATAGTATTTCCTACAGCAAACAAATATCGAAATGTTTAACTAAAGTAGGCATAGTAGTTTTTAATTTTTGGTGTGATTCTTTCAAATGTTAACAAGTGGCCTTATTTTTAATATAATATAAACAAGCCAGATAAAAAAAATAAAACGTTAAATTTTATAAGATGTACTGTCCAGCAATCCCCATGGGATTATAAACACTGGAAATGCACTCGTACTAGGAATTGGCTTTTCATCTATGGGGTTCTTTTATGAAAGACGTACAAATTATATGTCACTGAAGAGGGGTTGAGAATTTACGCCAATCCGAAATACATATGTAGAAGAGAAAATTGAATAATAAATTGTGCGTGGTTAAATCTTTGGATATTTGCTGTAGGAAATACTATACCTGACATAAACTATTATAGAGTTAAACTAACTAAATTTCGAGTTTATAAAGGATTTTTAAGCTACACTCAAGTTCTCAACGATTCTTTGCTTCTTTATTAGTAAAATTATCAAATTTTTAACACAAACTACAAGTTAGGCCTGTATTAATTGCGTTAAAATCAAGTATTAATCGTAAATCTATACTTGTATACAACGTTTAATTATATGCAAACATCTTTACCCGTACTCGGCAGTTAATTGTAAACATTGCGACGGATAAAAGTTAGACTTTCGTATCGTTCCATTTCTAGTTGACTAGATTCTGTGACGCTAAATTCCACTGTTACGTTTCTAGAAGGTATAATTTGAGCTTGACACCGTAACAGGCCATTAGTTTTATATTAATAACAGGTTATTTACTTGTTAAATCGTCGAGTTTAAGTTAAAAAAAAAACTCTTCTCGACTAAAATTTAATGCATTTCTGTCGCTTAATAAATGATTCTATACACGTAAGAAGTTGCAAATATTCCTCTCAACTTCCAATTTAGAGTATGTGAAGTTTACATTTAATTAAATAAATTCTAAGTTATTTATTTTTTTAGCTTAATTTTATGCCGTTGAGTAGGTTAAATCGGTGTTAAGTGATGAATCTTTATCAAGTAAGTCTTCTGTATTTTTATAAACTTATTGTAAACGAAAGCACGTTCAATTATAGAATATTTTCTATCTTTAATACATTTTTAGGTACTTTATCGAAGTCGTAAGAGGAGGAAAAAGTCCGAATTGTCTGGAGGAAGGTAAATTAAAGTGGATAATAAAAGAAATTCCGCAATAACCACGAAAAGAAGCGGCGCGAATAATTGGAATAGTTACAATTCATTGATCAGAAGTTGGCCGTTTCATTCCGTCATAGCAGGTTAATCCGACGCTTTCCTTTTCCGTCTCAGCATGGCGGATTATGAAGTTTTGTAGAAGAATCGATGCCGTCGACTGTAGCAACTGCAACTAGCAATTTAGTTAAGCCGACGATGCTCATTATAAGTTAGAATTGGCAAGTTTTTATGTGCAGAAGCGACGAGAAGAGAAGAGGGGTAAAAAAAAAAACTCCCGACAGATTACTGACAGGAAGGCTTAGACTAATCCTCTAGTGTGTTGTGAGATAGACTAACAAGAAGTGCTAATAATCTACAGATTAAGTGTAGGCCTACCTTGTCTCCTGTGTACGTCCGTGGCCCATTGCTCCGCTGCTTTCCTGCGAAAGTCCCAGTCCCGCAGGGGATCGCCTAGGTAGGTCGAACGATGGCCAAAGGCCGAGGCCAAAGCTCGAAGTTGTTGCTGTTGTCCTGCAATTTCAAAAATTAGTCGCTTCTTTACAGGAAAAGGAAATTTCAATTGCGCGGTTTGTATCTCGTTTTCTTTCATATCCGAATTTCAAAGTAATTATTTCACCTTTTTTCTATTTTGGTGGTGCAACAAGAACGCTTTGATCTAATTCTCGGGACATGTTTCTTTCTATTTAGAACGATGCCCGAAATTCTCTAGAAACATCATATTTTATACTTATAATACTGCGTTGTTTACATACTTAAAACACTAGAAAATCTTGTTTACTCACGTTTCTACGTAGATTCGTGTTTGTTACACACCTAAAACTTTCTAGAAAACTCGTAAACGTTCCATGAAAACTTGTGTGTTACAAATCCGAAATTCTCTAGAAAGCGCTTAGAACACTGCGTTGTTTACACCGCCAAAACTACAAAGCATACTTACGCTTTTACATAGAGTCGTGTATTTGTCACACACCCAAAATGTTCGTGAACTCTTAAACATTCCACGTTACTTGTAAACTTGTGTTTGTTACACCACCAAAATTCTCTAGAAATAGCACATTTTATACTTATAAAACTGCTTTGTTTACACCACCAAATTTCTATAAAGAGCATATTTATTCACGTTTCTACGCAGACCGTCTATTTGTTACACGCAAAAGTCTCTAGAAAAGTTGTAAACATTCCACGTTTCTATTTACTACTGTGTGTTTATTACCCCCGAAACTCAGTAGAAAGGCCACAGGTTCTACTTAAAATTCAGTATTTTACACTCCCAAAACTCTATAGAAATGATTTTTTCAGAAGGTTTTGGAAATTTAACTTACTTATGATCATATTCAGATCTGGAAAAACGTCATCTCCATGTCGAATCTTCTCTAGAAAGAATGCAATTTTGGATTATTCGCGAACAACAAAAAAACAGGCAAATATTCTTAACAAGATGGAGAAAATATTGGAGTTATGGCCAATCTGGTTTGATTAATTTGATATAAAACAGAATAGGAGGATTAATTAAGGATGGAATAGGTGCAAAGGAGAATATGGATTAAAATTAATTATTAAGGATTAAACCATACTCTTGGTTATTAATTATGCTTCACGTAAGATTATGATTCTTGCAATCTTATTTGATTCCTCGTCTCAATTAATGTTATCTCTGAATTTATCTATATTATTATTATTAATTTTTCCATTGTTTCTTAGGATCTTCTATTGTTAAAAAGGATCGATTGCGTGAAAGATTCTGGCTAATTTGGTGTCAAATTAATCGAAATTTCGTTCTCGGTACGTTCTCCTGTGGAGGTGTGATTCACGTGGATCAAACGGTGAATCTCTGTGGCCTCACAACTAATAATTAAGGCTTTAAAATAGGTTTAAAGTTGAACTTACTGGTCTTACTTCTAGGTTCTCTAGGCCCGTCTACGGTGACTTTGATGGCTTTGGCGTAGGTGGTCACTTGAGGGGGGTTGGTGCTGACCGTGATCGTCAGGGTGAAACTCTTGCCTGTTTAAAAATAGAACGAGAGAATGAATGATTTTTCAGCAATTTAAAGGCGTAACGGAACGCTTTTTCATCATTAAATTAGCGCCGTTTAGACATATGGAATCCCCAAGATCCCCGAAGTGTCTCATCGAACGGATTTTGGCAATCATGCGGGACAATCACAATATAAAGAGGCATTAATGAAAGTGCAAGGTTGCCACATGCGGCTAAACGCGTGAATAATCGTCTGATTAAACAGAATCTCAACTTTTCCGAAGACGATTTGTCAAGCAATCAACCTCTTGCCAAATCAGGTGACAAAGTTGCGATAATTATCCCTATGCTGGTGAGGTTGCCATTTATTTTCATTGGTTTGTCTCTCAGGTGCTGATCTTGCACCTTCCGCCGTTTCTCCCTTCCATAACTCTTAATGATCTTTTAAAAACATTATTTTTCCCTTAATAAGTTGCCGAGTTACATTCTTGGATTTGGGTTCATACGTTGATGTGGGAAAAGGGCGCTTTTTTACCCCCTTCACTCCGCGTGCCACGTGACACATTAATGGCAATGAAGGCGGTCTCGTCTCCCCTTAGATGTCGAGTGAGAGCACGGTTCACAGTTAATGAAAGACGGAATTTTGAGCTTCCTAAGTGTTTGTCAAGCGAATTAATGCTTGGGAATTGAGGCAGAACGTCAGAATTTTAAGAAAATTGGGGTGTTTTGTGCCCTTCCAAGTTAGTTTTTGGCTTTTCCTACGAATTGATGCGGAAAATCAGAATCTTAGCTAAATTGAGGATTTTTACAGGTTTCTAAGTTAATGAATGTCTGTGTTTCATGCATACTGACGAATTAAAGCACGAGGATTGACGTAGAACTCGAGAATTTAGCGAAAGTGGGGGTTGTCGGAGGATAATTTGAGCAAAGTGGAAGACACCGAGAGGACAAATGCAGGTCGAATTTGATGGCAAAAAAATATGGCGGTCATTTACATAAATTTTCCAATATTGAACCCGGGACTAAGTGGAATAAAATGAGACAACCAAAAAGTGGCGAGTGAAGCTTTTAGCAATTTTCTGCGCTGTTAATGGTACAAACACGAAAGGGGAAAAGAAAATGTCGTCGGGTGAGGAATAAAAATAAAAATAAAAAAATAAAAAAGAGCGTAGGAAGCTTTAAAAAAAACTAAACAAAGAAACGGGGGAGAGGAAAAAAACTAGCTAACTTAGCAATCGTTCACGTGATCGTGACGCAACGTGTTGTCATAGGGAGCTATTTTGGATGGCTGAGATGGTCGACAGTTTTCCGTCAGCTGTTCAGTCGGGCTTCAAACGTCTTCCCAACCTCCCCACATCTCCTGTTTTGGCATGCATGACTAGACACTTAGTGGAAGCCATTAATGCTCTTCTTTGGACTTTTAACCGTTTTTTCCCCCACCCCTTCTATCTTAAACTTGATAACCGTGCTAATGCGACAGTATGGCGTCTGACGATTTAGCAACACAACACCTGGAAGAAATTCTCATTTTAAAGCGATTCGGATGGGAATTTTCTAAAATTTCCACCCTATTCGGGTGTAGTTTCCTCCTCTTAATTAATATTTTCCGTAACTTAATTAATTGTTTAGTAAAATCGAGCCTAAATTTATCCCTTCTTTTGCATTCCTGTAAATCATACTTTCCCGCACGGCTCGGTGTGTATAGTAGAGAAGCGGTTCAAATGTAAGTAGAGTAGCGCGTTACATCGAGTTTCGTGTTGGATAGAGGAGGAAAATCTGGCCTTTCGTCCCGCAAATAACGCCTGAAACCCGTTTAAAGCGTTTACGTTGATTAAGAAGGTTGCGCGAAACGTAAATCTTAGAGTAATTCGAATCGTTCGTTGTATACATAAATGTATCTGGAATAAACTGTTAAATATAGAAAGAAGGGAAGTGCGCCGAATGCATTTAAAGGCCAAAGTGTCGTAGTCTGAGAGCTTATTATTAGAAGTGAGAGCAAACAGTAATTATCTGCTTGTTTTTAGCGCATCACCCCGTGAAATGAATCCTGTACTTTATAAGCCAACCCAACGGTTTTAACTACGTCTAACAAGCATCCGGTCATTAAGTGAGTGCATGCAGGTGCCGTCCAACATTTAATTCAGTGAAAACTTCCTTTAATTCCTAGGAAATAGATCCTTAATCTGTTTATAATGACGCAACATGCACCACACGCTACCAGCGGTGCAGGCTACGTCGACCACTAATTACTATGAAAAGTTAATCTCCAATTTGGCGCCGAACGGCGTGCGGCGCGCTTTTACAACGGAGGAAAGGGAGTTTCAAAAAGGAGCTCACCTCTTCCGCTCCTTCCCACGAATCTCAAATCGTTAAACTTGGCCACTTGATTCTTCATAACCGCCGTGGAGTTACGCAGTTCACCGCAGTAATTCTCATCGTTGCCTGCCCTGATGGTTACTAGGGTGCCATCGGACACCTCACCCAGGGCCACCAGCTTGAAGGCCACCGGTAAAGTCTTGTTGGACCTCCAATGGCAGGGCAGAACGGAGCAGACGAAGTTTGGACTTCCCGTCTGTGTCAGCTCGCCCGGATGCTCTCCCAAAACCTCGGTCAGGGTCCTCTCCACTGGCAGCAAGAAGTCCGTCATTGCGGGAGAGTCATGGCAGAATGATATATGCATTCGTCCACGCAATGAATTTCAGCTCAATGACTGTCGGACGATGCCGGAGTCAGTTTGACAAGACAACGCACCGCCGGGCAAGTGACAGGCCGTGAAGCGACTAAGGCGCCTCCAATGTTGACGTTTCTTCGCCTCCTCCGCTTCTCCCGCCTTCTTTCGTCTCCCCTTTCACCCTTGTTCCACCACCAGGTGTTGGCATTACTCCGCATCCCTCCACTTTGTTATCTCCTTCCCTCACCTAACCTCTACGTCCCTTTGCTTATTTTACCTTTTTTTTTTCTTTAAAAAAATAATTAAAATGAAAAAGCGTTAATGAAACTGGCGAAACCGTCCGTCCGGCAATTTAATTAAAATCTTAACCTCCGTTTCTATATTGTTTACTACTGTTTTATCCTTGAATTTATGAAAGGATGTCCACCGTAACGAGTCTGTCGAGTTCGCAGGGTTTTTTTTTCCGATCTCGTGTACAAGTGTACGCTAATAATTCTGCGAGCAGCGCATTCAGATGTTGTTTAACAGGTTGGATATTATAGCTGTTTGCACCGCTTCCGTGTGATATATTGCCTTATAATGCGCTTAATGCCTCAAACATTTGCGTTGGCCGCTGCAGAGTGCGTAAACCCGTATAACTAAAGTTCCGTTTATTCCGTTTTTAACACATCCGCTATAAAGGGGAGGGAAAGGTCTGACAAATTAACGAGTCCGTAACTTAAAAAGTGGGGAGAGAGAGAGAGAGATCGGTAATAAAGAACGCAGTTCGCAAGGTCAAAGTAAGCAAACAAAGTTTATTTTCGTGGGGTGTAGCCGGGTAATTGTCGAAAGTTGACATTTAGGACAATGTCCAGCTGCTGCGTTCTAACGAAAGAGAGTCACAACAGTAAAAGTTACAGGAAGAAGGATTTAGCTACGACAAGCAAAGCTGTTACAAGATTGTCTTGGGAGCTGGACCGTGGTAATCAACTCAATGATGGGATCCGATCACTTGCTTTATGACTGCTCCGTCCAGTTTACAATGTCGCTGGCCACAAAGTGTGAGGGTTGTAAATGTTGGCTTGGAACAGCTGGACAGGTCGTCCCTTCGGACTCCAGCCTGGTAATTACCTGCGAAGCGTCGATCCGACTGACCCCGACCACGTGGGCTTTAATTGAACCTCCGAGAGGGGAGGATAATTACAAACGTTTTAAAACGCGCCAATGGCAACTTCCGGTTCGATCCCTTCCAATGGGAATCGATGGCCGACTTCTTTTTGGATACACTTACTCAGCAATTATACGGGTCAGCGATAGAAAATTAGGAACAATTAGTGAGGAATGGTCGAAGGGGCATGAATTATTCAAGTCAAACATTGCAAGACGCAACTCCTATCGATTGGGCTCAACTGGCCAACTCATTACATTGGAATCGTCTTACATCGAACGTCAATCTGCTACGTCAACAGCGACATTGCTGATCTCGCTCTGTTTTTGCGGCATCCCCTTCTATAAGCTAATAATGAACTTCCCTTCCGCCCGACGCCGCCTTCCCCCCTAATTACACCCGTCCAAATAAATTAACGCCTCCTTTCTTCCCTGCTTGTGAAAACAAAATTGTAAGGGCCTAAAATTCCTCTTAAATACTCAATACGGCGAATTTTAGTCGCTATATCGGGGTAGAGAGAAGGCTAACTTCTTAATAATGGGGCAATGCCCGCCTTTATTGTATGGCAGACCAGAAGTTAAACAGAGGAGGGCGAATGAGAAGACTCATATTTACCTTTCTTTCGTCGTCCGTTTCCGCACCGATTGAGAAAATAGAGCTGCAAATTTTTATATATCTAAGATGTCAGCCCGTCTGTCTGTCCGTACCGACAAATTCTTTACGAAAATATCGAGAAAGAGGGGAACAGGGGGATCGAGATAGGAACCAATTTAAAGAAGGGAGGCCGTATAGTTTCTAGATCAAAGTTTTTAAAGCGTCGTTGTTTCAATGTCGTTTCCAGGGTGAAAAAATATATAGAAAAAAAAAAGGAAACTAGGTAGTGCCGACATTAATTATTTTTACGGCGATTCTTTACTCGGATAGAAAGGCCCCTTGCCCAAACGATACGTTAGGGAGGGGGCAACAAATGGCCATCACTCTACTTTCAGATATCTATCTTCTTAAACGACTGTAACACACACACACATACACACTTTTTGGAACGGCAATAAGGTGTTAAATCAAACAATGTCCGGAATAAATGATTTTTATGAGCTGCGCCCCTCCTTTTTTTTCGATTATTCTTTTTACTATAATGGCAACTACCTACCCCGGATGGAGTACGGATCACGCAGATATGGGATAAATCGCAGGTTTTTACATTTCTCTCCCTCCGCAGTGGGGAAATTACCCCACTTCAGCAGGTGGACTACTTTAAACACCATTTTATTTCCTACACAAGAAAGTGTTTGGATGAAAGAAAGATGCGTTTCTCACTCTCTTTCTTCTGTTTGTTTACACCTTTTTCGCTGAAATTACATCTTTTTTCTACTCTCTCACCACCCCTCCCGAAAGGAAAAGAAGAAAAAAGGAGGAGGAGGAAGAGGAGGAGGAGAAGGGAAAAAGGGAGGTATTTTTCGGGGGGAGCGAAGACAGAGGATGGCAGTTAATTGTCATTAAAAGTTGTATTATTTTTTTCCTCCTCCGTGTCGGGGGAAAGCGGAAAAGTTTGTTAAAAGAAGAAAAAAGTTTTAAAGAGAAACGATATCTTAATGTTAGAATTTGAGAAGATAAAGTGCGTCTCATCATTAAGTCGACTAAAACACCGGTACTTTGTCATCTCGGCAGCAGTCGGACCACTTTCACGTCGTCTGAAGCTAAAGTGCTAAAAATAACCGACATAAACAGCACTCTTCTTTGCCGGGGAGGGTGGGAGAGAAAACTTCAAAACCCAACTTTCTAATGGAAAAACTATGAACGATATCCCCTTACATCGTATCTATCCATCTGGCGAGGATGGGACAGCTGACCCTAATGGATAGAAGGTCTCTAATTGGTGCTACAGAACACGGCTTGTTTGTTGTCGCTAAAGTCCCATTATCTTGCCACCCCTGACGTATTCTAGGCCACCGACAGTTGTAGACGGTGCGGTCGCGTGAAGGCCGATATAATTGAAGAAGTGGTAATTGGGGCCATTTTACAATCTTTCTCTTCGTCGATTTTTGAAATTCGTTCGCACGAATTGTTTAGAAATCGAATCCTTGCGCGGAGTGGTAGTAAGATGCGAGATCCTTTGCTTCTTTTCATTGGGAGTGCCCTTTGCAACTTGGCGAAACGATACTGTCGCATGGTGATTAAGAAGCCAGAACCTCAGATCCTTAACAGAAGAAAAGAATGGAGTTTCAGTCGAACAATCAAGATAATGACTTATCCTTCTCCCGGACCGGCTGACCACCAATTAACTTTTGTGTGGTGGCTAACACAACAGGATTGCGGCTATCTCGGGCTTGGAATCGGGCCAGACTGTTACGAATTTGGCCGAATTGCCCTAATTGCTGCTGGTCAGCCAGTCGAGTAATGGGGAGGTCCATTACGAATAACCGCCTTTGGCCACATCCTCGGAGAATGGCCAATAAATCCGGGGTTAAGCGCCTCGATCTAATTAAGTGCAAACGCCCGAAAAAGGGGGGTACCACGTATAAAATATTTCCACTCTCTGCGACATTTTGCTTGCCGGTCGCGCGCTGCGTGGCTCGATTTTGCTAATCATGATGGATAATGGGCCGGGGGGACGAACCGCTTCTCCCCCTCCGTTCCCTTGGTTATCTTGTCTCTCCACAACACCTTTTTACGGCGGGCGCGTTTCTCAATAAAAATTACACTAATTAATCTGGATTAATGTCTTAGATTGTGTTGTAAATTAGGGCACTCGGTAGCCCTCTAAGGAAGTGTTCGGATGGAAGATAAATTCACTCCCATTTAATTAATTAATGCCTTGATTATCCCGACCGAGCAGCGGCCACCCCTTGTCCTCTTCCCAATTCGCAAACCATAGCAAAGGTGAAGCGTTGTAAAAATTCCCTCTCCCCTCCCCTCCCGCGCGTAATAGTTCGAGGAGACACGAGCAACTTCCGCGCGTGGTCAAGGAGGAGGAATGGGCCTTTAATTACGTTACATAAACAAGCTGGCCCCCTTTTTTAAGGTATCCGAATCGGGTGAAGGCCGATGTTTATGTTAAAGAAGAGGGCAGGGAAGAGTGGAAAAAAAGAGTGAAAAGTTTTTGTTCCGGTGTTCGGGAACAGGAGCTAAGTATCCATTAATTATTGCTTCTTAATGTGTTGCGGGCTGCGTTTCCCAATCTACATTTAAGCGTGTTTTCTCTCTCCCCCGTGCATTAATCTTGACCGGATAAGAAAATGAGAGTTTCACCGCTTGGGACAAAGATATTTAACCTTTTCAACGCCAAGGGGTGAGGGAGGAACAAGAAAAAGGGAGGGAGAATAATAATGACGGCGTTGTACAACCCCCGAAATCGTCCTGCTGCGGAGAAAAATGACCAAGCAGCCAAGCCATTTCCATGCTAATTACCCCGCTTGATGGATGGAGCTGTTTAAGCGGATCCCGCCTAGGTGCAAAAACTGCTGACGTCACACCGCCGACCGTAAATATTTCCCAAACCGGGGAATGGCTCGGTAACATCATCGACGCTAATACGACTTTCAGTTTCTTATTTCTCCCACCAGGAGTCGCAAGCGGACGGTCGGGGCGTATTTTTCGCGGCGTTACCGTTCGTTACGCGGGCCCCGCCGATCGATAAATGGCGCGCGCGCGCGCAACGCCACCGGACGGTAGCGTAACTCGGATGGAGGGTGGAAAGTTACGAACGGAAGCGGCGGTTTGCGTAAGTGAAAAACAAATTTTAGAAGGGAGACGATTACAAATTTAGCGACGACCGCATCATTTGTTAGAGTGAAGTAGCGGAGAATATTTTACGACATGCTGGGGAATAAATAGAGACGCGGACGTATTATTTATGGGTGTTACGCCACCATGACTGCGGCCGGAGCGCGGTAAATCAACTAAGTCAGGTGATGTGCGCGGGA